GGGGGGGGGGGGGGGGGGGGGGGGGGGGGGGGGGGGGGGGTGGGGAAGTTCTAAGAACATGAAGTGAAGAGGGTAGCGAAATGACGAAGAAAATTCGGCTCTTCACTCAACTTTTCGACACTGCGTTCATTCCTTTTGATGTACGCCTTACCAGTTAGAGACTTGATGAGATGAGCCAGCATAATTCAATGCGCTGCTGAAAGAACAAAGTGTGGAATTTCCCGATACACGCAAGAGATAGAGGAATCCGCAGTCTCGAGCACATCAGTGGGCGAAGTTTAGGGTGGTGTTGCTTACACCAAGGAATCAAAGATCAGGTGGGCGGGCACATCGGGGGACGTGCGATTCGTGCGATTCTGGGCGCGCGCGGCAAACTGCGCGACGAAATTTGCGACTTTAGTAGGGTCGGACAATCCTACTAACCTACTTTACTTCATATTTGGGCCCCAGTGATAGGCGCCAGAATTGTTTGAATCGTCGCGAATTTCGTCGCGCAATTTGCCGCGCGCGCCCAGAATCGCACGAATCGTCACACACCCGGGCAAATCATGCGATTTGTGATAACCTTTAGAGCTGAGCACTTACTGACTGGATCCCTCGGAGCGTCAAACTAACACCAGGGCGGCCGCCACCGCGATGGTCTGAATTTTTCGGAAAGGCTCTGAACCGAAAGAGCGCTACGTATGTATATATGAATCTCTCGTGCGAGGACGATCCGCTAGGCTACTCTATTTCGCGACAGGGACGAATGGAGTTGTCGTTGACACCTGTTCGGGGAGATCAATAATAAACGGGACGATGGGTGATATAGGTGATATTGCGCCGTGAGCTGGATGTCATATAGTCTCAAGATCTCTGCAGGATAGAAAACTCGGCAATCATCCAACATGAGTACATTCAAATGAGACCATCTATTATACTATCAATTATTTATAATAATACAATTCCCCACCGTACAACAGCATCAACTTCGACTAATGAATATCCTCCTTGCAATCATTGCATTCAGCTCTGCCGCAGTTGTACTTTGTTAGCCTTTCATCTCGTGGTGTTACTGCGCTAGTTCCCAATTCACAAACGTCATCACCTCTCTGGAACTTCCTCTAATCGCACATCGTGCGGTGTAGCCAGGTCACTTCAGAAGTATGCCCCGTTTTCCGCAAAAAGATATGCGAGGTAATCTTGTCAAGTTTTTTGGACTGTGCTTGTTTACCAAGTAGTATGTAATAAGTTTTTACTTTCCATTTTTCGACTTGCATCTCTGTTCAAATCCTTTCGACATCTGAGGCTGAGGACTATGACTCAAGAAAAGGGTGCCGTTTGGTATGGTTTTAGGTGCGGCCAGGATGGGAGCGTAAGACGTGGGTGGCGACCCTTTTAATGTGAGAGTAATAGAGGTGATTCATTATGTTTATTGAGCGAAGAGAGAAGCGTAGAGCGTGGAGAAGCGCGTTGGACCGTACCCTATACTATGCGAACTTACATCACCGTACCTACACAAGCCTAACTTCGCACTTCTGCCCTCTCGAAACCTCGAGAAGCCACACGAGAGGGAGGAATGAGATATACAGTAATTGGGGATCGTCATCGATGACATATACTGAACTTATCTACTGACCTACTAATTAGTTGTACCGTGGGTATGTCATTTTGAAAATTTTCTCAGAAATACTGGTTCTTACATTAATGATATGTACTGTTTGAGAGGTATTTATTTGAATTACAACCTTGCACGCTTCTTCCTGAATCAGTAATGATTCAGGGTGAATTTCAAGCTTGCGAATTGAGTTAATCTGTGTACTTTAGTCGTCCCAGTACTTGATTGACTGTAATTTTTTTNTTTTTTTGTCAAAGAGAGAGAAGAGAGGCCAGTCGTAGACCAGCCTGTACTCGGCCGCGTCCTCTTTCGAAAGATCGTTCATGAAGTTGTCCCAACAAATGCTCATTGTTTTTTCCAGGCTTGTTTTTCGAGTAGAATTGCTGTCGTTACGGTTTTTAAACATAATTTTTCGATTTTTTAAACTCAGTTGTACTTCGCAAATCGAGAAATCCGTGATTTATTTGCACACGGTACGCTTTGTTTTTGATTTGATTATGTTTATGTTGAATTTACTGTCTAGATAATAAAGTGCCTTTGCGAGGAGAGATACGACAAATTTGCAGGTACTACATCGAATCGACTTTCCTCGAAAAAGGCACAAAAACGATGGGAATATCATTTCTGTACTTTATCGCGACATTCTTAGCATTCTCCCAATTAGTTTGAAGGCACAGTTCGCGATAAAAATCGCTTTTTTAATTTCTCCCCAGGATGAGCCTATGACCTCCAAGGATTGCGCAAGGGGACACAGTCTATAATGGGCCTAAACAAGGCGTAACGAGGGCCTCAAAACCGGATTAGCTACGCACACAGCCAATGCAAACCAGCTATCACGACGTTGCAGATGCTGTACATGTTACACAATTCATACCAGGACACCACGTTGCAAGCAGGCAGCTTACTGTAGCCAGCTGTACGCAATCGCACACACCTCGTCCAAATCTCTCTCCCACACAACTTTTCTTGCAACATTCTCGTTGATTCCCTAATTTTGAATCTTTTTTGAAGTCTTATATTTTCCTAAATATACTGATTTTCGAAATTTCTTCGCAACTCTGCTCTATTCTGGACTACCACTGTCGAAAAAAAACTTCCATTATTCGGCTAAAACTAGATATTCAAAAGTTATAGTAGGCTTCCTTTTCCTTTCGATAGTTCTGCAGTCACGGCTTTCGAGCTAACCGATAGATAACCATCAAAATCTGACAACGAATCAAAATGTTTAGACAAACGGTACAGCATATTGGATAAGTTTCTCAGCTGAGCATCGGGAAGAGGTCGCGACCAAGTACGCGGCTCATCTTTGATTGTTCTTAAAAAAAAAATAAAAAAACAGGCTTCCATCAGGTATCGGTTCAGCAACTCTGCCGGCTCCCATCTATTATAAGTTCGTTCTCTTTATCGTATGAATGTTTGCAAAAAAGGATATCGTAATCAGCTAATCATCATATTTGTAAGTGTAAAAGTACCCCCTGTGCATCATTTCCCTTCTGCGTGTCTATAATAAGTTCCAATTTCAATTTCTACTACATGGAAGCTCACTTTCAGCTATTCAACTGATTGGCCAACTTCTAATCTTCTCTTTAGGCTTGAGGGGAAAAATACGTGGCCTAATAATTTGGAAAGAAAGCAATAATCTCGTATCTATTTTTTGAGATAGTACTCAAGGCTAAATAGCAATTTGAAAAGAGCCACTAGTGGAAGGGACAGTGATACAGTAAAATTTGATTACTGTATCTATTAGGATCGTGACTTCTTCAGCTACAGGCTTGTCTATGAAGTAAATGGATAAATTTTCCTGGCGTTAATCGATCCTGTCTGAGGGATGCGCCCTCGCACTCGACTTCCAATCAAAATAGTAGGGGCGTATTAAACGGTATGTGGCCTATACAACGACTTACGGTGGCCAGCGCCGATGTGCAGGTCACTACTCTTATCCTCCCAGATTAGTATGCTGCCAATTAGCCGACTTCGTAGGGATGAAAGGCTTGGCTTATTCGGACATCGATCCCGAAGTTAAACCCTCAACCATGTGTTTGTGATGGTGAGAAACTTGCCACCACACCACTTCCGCCCATCCGTGAGGTAATGTGTGAGAAATAGCGAATATTTGTTATGAAGCTCCTCCATAGATTAAAAATTCTCACTCTCTGCTCACAATCAGTTAGTTTTCAAACGTTAAACTGTTCTGACTTATGGTACCCTAATTTAAGAAATATGGTTGCTGTTAAGTTAGATATAATATAGATTGTCCCAAGGGTGTTTAGAATTTCCGGTCCATATTTCTGCATCCCTCTCCCCCCATTTTGTTGGTGTCTTAACCGAAAATGGAGGGTGTTATGTATACCGTTGCATAACATGTGATGGGGTGATGAAATACCGGTAAAGGGTGGTTAAGACAAAATTTAACAATTTTTGGGACATCCTAATACCATACTGGTAAACCTTGAGAAGTGTCTGCGCAATTGTATAGCCAATAAGTAAAGATCATTCATTTGGTTAACGCTCAACGCTTTCCACCATAAAATGAATGATGACATCGGAATATTCTATACAACAATATCTAGAAAATCGTTTAGTTATGAGCAACGATTGCATTGGCAAACAACGGCATCGTCCGCTACTCAAACAACTACTCAACGACTCTAGGCTATTATTATACAAATATTATTGCATTATATTCTGTTATGCTTTACTATGCGAAATGTCATGTGATGATGATATAAGGTGACTAGAAATCGTTTGCACGGGCACGTGATGGTGACCGTAATACAGTGGCTGATTGTGAAGTTTGAAGACCAGACGGGGCTACCGAGGAGCTCGTTCGCGACTTAGCTCTCATCTTTGACAACGAGTTCTCAGCGCAATCGGCACGCTCTTCGGCGTCTTCAAGTTGGTGTTGAATTTGGCGGTACTTCTGCAGATTGAGGTTAGCGACCTCTTCCTGAAAGACAACGTGCTAGTTGAGAAAGTATGTCAAGAAGGTTTTATAGTAGTGCTGGCTTTCGCTAACAGTTGCGTTAAGCTTCGTGAAATTTGATCGCCAGTGTAAAATAGCTCTGAAGAGTTCCCGAAATATGTTTCATGGTTTCTGATGTGAAATACGGCAGTAGTCGAAGGCTTACCGCTTCTTCGATCTGTCGTTTTTGGGTCTTCAGTTTGTTCTGGAGCTTGTCGATAAGGTCCTGTAGGCGTTCGAAGTTCTTCTTATCTTCGTCAACCTTCAAACAAGGAAACTTTACCCTAGAACTTCTTCTACATACAGGATCCCAAGGTGGGCAAGTACCTGGAATTGGAGCTCGCGGACTCGTCGGTCGGCTTTACCAAGGTTCTTGTTGGCTTCTTGATATCTGCGCTGTTCAGCGTCGAGCTCGGACTCGACTTCACGCACACGTTGTTCCAATTTGGCAATAACCTTAACACATCGGTTCAAATAGAGCCCATAAATTGCTGAAGTAATGGGTACTTACCTTCTTTCCACCCTTGAGAGCTGCTGCTTCGGCTTCGTCGAGACGGACCTGCATCTCCTTCAACTGCTGCTCAAGTCCCTTGCGCATTCGGTCAATGTGCTGCGAGTGTTCTTGTTCTTGACGAAGTTCGTCAGCAAGACGTGTTGCATCGGCCATTGCCTTCTTACTGCGCTCCTCAGATGCTTTGTACTCATTCAGGGTCTCATCAAGGTCAGCCTGAAACAGTCCCTCATATAAACTCTCCGAGGGATATGTAACAGTAAAACAAACTTACATGGATAGCTTGAATTTCTCCTTCGAACTTTCTCTTGGCGGCACTCAATGAAGCCACTTGTCCGGAGAGCTCGTTGGCCTGGTCACGAGAATCCGCAGCCTCGTATTCTGCCTGTTTGCGAGCGCGTTCGCTGGACTCATTGGATACCAGCAGCTCTTCCTTCTCGGACTGCAGCAGAGTGGCTCTCTTCTCAGCGTTGAAGAATTGCTCGCGGATTTCATCGCGCTGTCGCTGTTCCTCTTCAACTTGCAATTGCAACTCACGAATTTGTTCTTGGTACCGTTTCAAGTTCTTCTGTGCGTCAGCATTGGCCTTGTTGGCGTGGTCGAGGGCGATTTCCAATTCGTTGATGTCAGCTTCGAGCTTCTTCTTAACTCTGAGGAGTTCAGCCTTACCCTTGGCTTCGGTCTCGAGAGAGGCTTGCATTGAGTCCATAGCACGCTGGTGGTTTTTGCGGGTGTTCTCGAATTCTTCCTCCTTCTCCTGGATGCGTTTCTCGATCTCCGATCGGATCTGAGACACTTCGACTTGGGCACGAAGAACCTTGCTTTCTTCTGCTTCCAGGGCAGCTTCTGCTTCATCGAGAGCGTGCTGCAACTCCTCTTTCTCGATCTCCAGACGGCGAATGATTTTCTGCATCTCGTGCACCGAACGGCCACCTTCTCCAAGTTGGTCGGTGAGGTCCTTGATCTCTTGGCTCAAGCTCTTGTTTTCACGACGAAGACCCTCAACGACTTCGTGGAGTTCTTCCAAGGCATTCTTTGCTTTGAATAGCTCAGTCGAGGTGTTGCGTGAATCTCTTTGAGCGCTGTCGAGCTCAGCTGAAAGGTCATCGGTCTTCTTTCTCCATTCATCAATGATCTTGTCGAAGCCTTTTTGCTTCTTCTCCAAGGCACTGGCGAAGGCATTGGCACGTTCCACGTCTACCTGAGCGTCATCAAGATCTCCGACCAATCGGCTCTTCGTCTTCTCAAGAGATGCGATCTTCGAGTTGGCTGCGTCAAGGGCTTCTTGGAGCTCGTTGATCTTCTGAGCTTGGCGTCTCTTAGCGTCCTCGAGTTCGTCAGCCTTGATGAGACCTTCACCTTCGAAGCGTGCTTTCCATTGCTGAATTTCGGCGTTTGCCTTGCTGAGCTGGCGCATTATCTCGTTCTTAGATTCAATCTCCTCTTCCAGGCTTTCTTGGAGTTGTTCTGCTTCATGCTGGTAATTCTTGGCCTGAGCAGCGAGTGTCTGGCGTTCACGCGCCTCCTCATCAGCGGTGCGGCGGGCCTCCTCGAGTTGACTGGTCAACTGGCTCTTGAGTCTCGAGAACTGGTTGAGCTGCGACTCGGCATCCTCAAGTTGACGGCTGAGTTCGCCATTCTCGTTGTGAAGACGGCCCTTAAGGGAAGTGAAGTCTTGCAGTTGGCGACTTTGTTCGTCGCACTTTGCCTGCAGTTCAGCGAGTTGAAGTTCAAACTGCTTGGCGAGTTTCTCATTGTTCAGCTTAGCTGAGGTCTCAGCATCGAGTTGGGCAGCGAGTTCCTCAGCTTCATGGTTAGCCTGGATTTTCTCCTTCTCGATCTTTGCCTTCTGCTTCTGCAGCTGATCGAGCTGATCAGTGAGCTCTGCGACAGCGTCCGTGTGCTTTTTGCGTAGGCCTCCAAGCTGGTTCTCGTGGTTCATGTTAGCCTCTTCGAGGTCTCGACGGAGTTTCGAAAGTTCTGCCTCTCTCTTCTTGTTCAGTTCTACCTGAGCGGCGGTGGCACCTCCCTGTTCATCAAGGCGGTCTCCCAGTTCTTCAAGCTCACGCTGAAGATCTGACTTTGCTCGGTCAGCCTTGGCGCGCGATTGGCGTTCGTTTTCGAGTTCCTCCTCAAGCTCGGAAATGCGGCTCTGTCCTTCTTTGATTTGACGCTGGAGTTTGCTGACAAGAGCCTGTTCATCCTCAAGTCGGCTGCTGATCGTGTGAAGCTCACTCTCCTTCTTTTTCAAGTTGTTTTCAAGGTCGTGGCGTTGACGTGCACCCTCATCGATATTTTCCTGGGCAATCTTCAACTCTCCTTCAACCTTTCTCTTCTGCTTGTCGAGATCAGCGCGAGCTCTCTTCTCACGTTCGAGACCGTCCTCGAGATCATCAAGGGTCTGTTCAAGTTTGGCCTTAACCTTGTTGGTGTGGTTGGACTTGTCTTCCTCGGACTGAAGATCCTCCATAAGTTTGCGGTTGATTTCCTCTTGATGTTTCTTCTCCTTGTTGAGCTTGGCAATGGATTCGTCTTGTTGTGCCATTTCGTCCTGTAGCGAGCGGATTTGGTGGTCTTTGGACTGTTTCTCGGATTCCGATTTTCTCAAGCTCATCTCGAGGTCTTGGATTTGCTTCTTCAGGTTTTCCAATTCGGATTCCACCTTCTTCTTGGCACGCTGTACATCAGCATTGCGATCTTCCTGATCGGCCAGTCGGTCGTTCAATTCCTATAAAATAATCGTTAAAAAATCGCTTCGTAAGTTTTGGGTAAAGGAAATAATGGAAAAACGCAAAAGCAGTAATCAGTATGCTCACCGCAAGTTGTCTATCGGCATCAGTCTTCTGCGCCTGCAATTTAGCGAGACGCTCTTCAGCCTCTGACAGTTGTCCCTTTGTGCTTTCGAGGTTGGTGAACAAGCCATTTTTCTCTTCCAGTAGCTTGGTTGAGTTGTCTTCGAGCTCCTTACGCAGTTTCTCTTCTTTGGCAAGAGCTTCCTCGAGCTGTTTAACCTTCTCATTGATCTTCTCCAACTCCTCAGCTTCTTTTCCTGCTTTAAGCATAGGCTTGACTTTTCCGTAAAGCTTGAACCATTCCCATGTGCGGAGGGTACACCACGATCGGACATTCCTCTGGACAATGAGCAATCCAGCGCGCTGTTCCATACGGCGTTTACGATCAGCAAGACCAAGGTACCAGCGGATCTGGGCTTGGAAGGCAGTCATGATGACAGCTAGTTTTTCGTCACGAAGATCTTCAAGATGGGCCAGAACACCAGCTTTGAAGAAGACCTTGGTGAGACCTATACGGAACATTTCCTCCGTGATCGAACCTTCGTTTACCAATTTTGACATCATTTGTTCAGCACACTTCTTTTTGTCGTCATCGGCTTTGGATTCCTTAGCAGCCAGGATGGCATAACGTTGAACGAAGTCGGGGTGAAGGGTTCTGTTGGGGAAACCTTTTCTGCAAATACGAATACCTTCCAGCACACCGTTACATGTCAGCTGATTCAAAACCAAAGCAGCATCGATGACACCAGAGGCCTTCTTCTCGTTGGGAATGATGCAACGGATGAAGTGGGGGTGTGTTTTGTTCAACATGTTCATCAGGTTGTTGAGGGACTCGCGGTAAAGCATAGAGACAGTCATGAAGGATCCAGATTTTCCCTTCTTTTTGGCTTGTGTGGCTCCGGCTGAAAATTTACCATTTACTCATGTTATGAGAGAGAAAAAGTTTTTATCCTACCTTTTTGAGCAGCTGCAGCTTCCTCTTGAGTAACGTAATCTTGCCAGATTTCAACGAGCAGGTCGTTACCCTTTGATGCTTTCATGACAGTGACAACGGTGTCGTTGAGAGGATCCTTGTTCTTCTCCAGCCAGTTGGTCACGTTGTATCGTACAGTTCCGGCGTAGTGTCTCATGGCAAAGTGAGCCTCAGCTTGCTTACCCTTTGGTGGCTTGGGCTTCTCGAAGTTCGGGTGTTTGCCCAGATGTTGCTCGTTCAGCTTCTGAGCCAAAGTCATGTCCGTGGCTTTCGGTACAATACATTCTTCGTCAAGCATTGAGATGATACCCAAAGGCTGTAATAAAACAGGTTTGTCTCTCACTAAATGACGTGCCAATTTTCGAACGTACCTTCTCAATCAGCTCAATACAGGCCTGGAGATCGAGACCGAAGTCAATGAAGGTCCATTGGATACCTTCACGAGCGTATTCTTCCTGCTCGAGAACGAACATGTGGTGATTGAAGAATTGCTGTAGCCTCTCGTTTACGAAGTTGATCCAAAGCTGTTCGAAGGAGTTGAACTAAATGAGTCATTTCATTTTAAGGCTTAAAGTTGAACTAGAAGCACTGGATGAATCGATCCAACTCACATCGAAAATTTCGAAACCAGCAATATCCAGTACTCCAATGAAGTAGTCTCGACTGATTCCTTGTTGATCAAGGGTCAGGTTACATTTCTTGACCAGCCAGTGGAATATTCTAGCGTAGAGACCCTTAGCCATAGCTCCTGTGGCCCAGTTCACTTGTTCGAGGTTTTGACCCTTCGATACCCACTCAGTTCCTACTTTCACACGAGGCTTTGTCAAAGCCTTAAGGAACTCCTCAAAATTGACACCGTACATGTCTGAAGCCTTTTCGGCTTCATCGGTGCCATCCGGTTCAGCTTGTTCTTCACGGGGTCGCTGCTTGAACTTCATGTTACCCATGTGCATAAGAGCTGCCATCAAACGGTAACAGTCCATTTTTTCTTGTGCCGAGAAGTTGAGGATGTCAAAGGCTTCATCTGTCAATTGGAATTCTTCTTTGTCATTTACACCGTCAATTGATAACTCAGCTTGAGCTACAAACCAGTAATCCTTCAAAGGTTTGTCCAATTGAAGTTGCTTCTTCAACTCGGGCTTGTAGTCAGAGAAGATTTGGTAGAAAATGTGGTAACAACGCTCTCCTGGTGCTTGACGGATGACTCGAGATTTTTCGAGAAGGTAGTGTTCAATATCGCAAGAGGCGACACGTCCAGCCTTCGAAAAGTGGATTCGGATGAACTTTCCGAAACGGGAACTGTTGTTGTTACGGACAGTCTTGGCGTTACCGAACGCCTCAAGCACAGGATTGGTCTGTACAATTTGGTCCTCAAGGGTGACCTTCTTCTCGGTAGTTGCTTTGACTTCTTGTTGACTAGCACCAACAGATGCGAAGTAGGCAATTACCTGAATCAAATGTTTCTCAAAATGTATTTGAAAGTAATGTGTGATAGTACCTTCTTGGTGTTTTCGGTTTTTCCTGCTCCAGATTCTCCTGTAATGAGCATGGACTGGTTTTCGTGGTCTTGCAGCATGTTTCTGTAGGCCTCATCGGATACGGCGAATAGATGAGGAGGCATTTCAGTTCTACGTTTGCCCATGAACATCCTTGCTACAGACTCAGTATAAATCGGAAGCCTCTTGTAAGGGTTGATTACCACACAGAAAAGACCAGAATATGTCTGAAATGAGAAACGAGCTTGAATGAGTAGATGGTTTGGCTTTACTCTTCAGTTTTTCATACATATTGGATCAGGCCAGGTACAGGACTAGGCTATAAAAAAACAAATGTTACTCGAGGGTTTTGCAGGTTCTCAATGCGCATAAGTGCCCTATGTATCTCCCGGTCCCGAGATCATTTCGTAAAATGTCTTGCTTCTGTCAGCCTGTTGCTGGGGAAGTGGTTGTTGCGCGGCAGATGAGCCTGATCGACGGAAAAGCAGTGTAATATCTCGTTCAAGGAAGCGCAAGAGCACTAGGGCGCTTCAGAAATCCCATCTGTTTTGATTTTCTGAACATTTGAAAAACGAACTCATGGACTCACATAGATCAACATGGCTGAGTAACGAGACCTCAAATTGTGAAGCACAGAAGCATCATTCAAGAAGGTCAGATTAGACATGTCTTCGGTCTTCTCAAACTTCGGTGGATTCATCTCTTGCACCAACTCCTTCTTGAGTGTCACCTGTAAATTGGAGCTCATATGATTCTATTCTGTTTAAAATGCTATCATATTTTGTATGGCTTGATTTATGTAGCCCATTTATTTTCCCTATAGGACCATCCTGAATCCCTCAATTTCTGGATACTCTCCACACGTGTGCACGTATTACAACGCAAGCCGCAGCGGCACCCACGACTCGTAAGAAGAGAAAAACCGGCAGCTGCTAGCAATGAGGAGTGTAGGGGAGCAACGATCTCCCCTTGCTCCGCCGCCAGCTAAACTAAAAACCCAAGTTGGAAATGTTTGCTAACCTCATTTCCACGAGCAGTGACAGCAGTGACTTGGTCACCCTTGGTGGCGGTAATCTCAGCGGCTACATAACCTTCTTCGGCATCCGGAACCCAACAGTTTTTCTTCGAATCATATGGCTTTGATTGGTCCTGTAATAAATCGCTTTAGATCGAAAAGCCTAGAAAAGGATGTCGTGGGCCCCAATACAAGGATGTGACAAAATTGAAAGTAGTTCTTGACTCAGTTCTTCATGTTCCTCTTTGGGTCATAGACATATACTGTAGTTAAGGAACGAGTCTGGGCGTAGTCTGGGGGTAGTACAAGGCTGAGCAGAGATCGTCAATCAATCCAGAATTGCAACAATATCTGAGGAACTTCATCGAGTTGGTGTTTGACAATAAAGGGTAAGTGTAGGTACCGGTGTAAGGAGATTGCTTAGACATAGATACAAGCAGGAAAGGTAGGATATATCTCTTGGTCTAGGAGGAGTCGAAGGGCAATTCAGACGTTCTTGGAGAGCACTGATTCATAAAAATTAACATCGGTTTTGAAATGTCATGTGAATGGAGGCAATGAATGAGAGGAATCGTGGAAGAGCTTTATTTGTAAACATGTGCATAATAACGACATGGTAAACGGGCGGTCACAACAAGACGAGGGAGGACACGGTAACGAGCACAGAAGGCACTTACCTCTAGGGCTTGTTCGCGGGATCGGCGAAGATATTGCCAACCGGGATCATTCTCGTGGTCCAATGCCATGGTGCCTTCGATGTGCGGGTGTCCCTTGGATAGACTGACCCGAGGTATGGCAAGTTCTGAGCCACGCCTCTAGGCAAGACATTTGCCGCCCAGGCAAGCAACGCCTACTGTAATGCTCTCTATCGCTGCTCTAGCAACTATGTCTTGCTTAGCAAAATACTTTGCTTGACAAGTGACACCTGCGCAAAAACATCGCCCGAATACATGAACCATGGACGAAATGAAGAATCGTCCTGGGATACGAAGGCAAGTTCTATTCCCAAAAAGGCGAATCACCTTACTATAAAAGGGAGTAACTTTTGAAAAGGCGAACCAATTTTCTAAAGACTGTCTTGGAAAAATCGCATTGGATGTAGGGCCTCTACTCGTCTTAACCGCCACTTGAAAACCCCTTTCTGAGTTCCATTTAAAATATTCAGTTCCATCATCGTTGTTACAAACCTTTATGATTTTTCAATGAGCTCTTTGTTGCTAAGGGCTTTTTCTTGTGAACTCTGTGCTGCTAAGGCCTGTTGTTTCTTCGGTAACAGATTCTTCTAGGCTAACCTAAAAACGTGGTGCTTGTGTAATTTGTGCCATACGAAGAAACCTTCTTCCCTGTGTAACGAGAGGAATAACAGCTGTCATATCGCTGTCCCCAGACTACCTTCGTAGCTCTTGCTCTCATCAAGATAAATGAGAAAAAAGGGGGAGTTGAGTGGCATAGTGGTGGTGATCGTTCATAGGGATTTCACGGGAATTTCTTTCATCAAATTGCCTATGGTGGGTTTACCAAACTAGTAAGTACTTTCTTGCAGTAGTTACATTTCAATAAACTTATTCAAAGGTGCAGTTAACTAACAATGGTTTCCGAGAAAACTTTTTTCTGATAAATCTGTGGCCCTTGTACCATATGCGGCGCTGTCAGATCGGTAAACGGTCTAGATAGGGCGTTATAAGCCACAAATAGACTATTCTTCGCCAACAATTCAGGGTATCTCAATGTCATCGTGAACTGTGCCTTTAAGATGTTAAATGTTCGGATTCAAGCCCAGAATCACCGAGGCTAGGTCAACGGTTTCCGTGATATGAAAGCCGTGTCTGCTCTTTCAAGTGTAGGGTCTCAGTAAATCATCAAAGCCTTTCGTTGTTTGACGGTCAATCGACGAATCATCGATGTCCGGCTCATCCAGATGGATGGAATCATTCAATACGTGATGGTTGGCTTTGTTTTAATTGCGTAATAAAATTGTCGTAGAAAATTACGAGGATTGTTAATAGAAGCCATGTGTACGTCTGATAGTATCCCACACTCCAAGATAAAATTAAAACCACCGTTTTTTTTCTTTCTTACAGGAAAACCTCAATTCTACTTGTTTCATATCCATTTGTATTTGATTTCGACTCATTGTGAGGTTGTGTCCAGCTAATGCGTGGGCAGAAATCCACCCCAAGTTTTGCTGAGGAATAATTTTCTGAGAATTCGTGAAGAAGGCATTCCTTATTTTGACACGTGAGAGAATTTTCCGAAGTATTCAAGCATTTCACTTTAATTATTTGTACAACTCGGTCATCTTCATTCCTGTGGTCACCAATCTACACATGCCTCTCCGAAATTCTCAGAATATTCCTTTGAAAATTCTGCTCAGTCAAAGTCTACCGTCGTTTAGATTTCAGGAGTTCATTTCTAGCGGAATGCTCCTGAGGAATGAGTTGAGTGAAAACCGGGAAAGTAAAAGAATATGGTAACTGGGCACTGTCTGGGCTCATGTGCTGCTTGAGCCTATGGCCTGTGGCGCTGTCTGGACTAACGTGGCTGTTAGGGCGTATGGGCGTTATGGTCCCCTTTCTTGAATTATCCTTGCAAGTGCTCGAAAATCTCTGAAGCAAAGGTCAGCTAGGTCTGTCTGTTCACCCATCCAACACTTCGCAGTAGGATATTCATGAAACCTTGATCGTCTAGACCCACTTGGGTATGCCAGATTGCTACTTCCATATCCTAAACAGAGCCATGCTCAGTAGTGTATTAGTGACGGCGCCTCTGTCGGTTTCACCTGTGTCATGTTGCCGTCGCTATCCTGCTGTGTCTTGCTGCGCCCGGGTTTGCTTCAGTGACATCTCAGAGAAGTCGATTTTTCCCGATAATCATGGGAATATTGAAAATGATGACTGCATCCTCTATACAGGTACAAAGAACTTTTCGAATCATTGTCATGTAAAAGAACTTCGTAGCTGATTGCTCTATGCCGCCAGAATGATAGATGTAATCTCTCTTCAAAAAAAAAATCATTTCTTCCAAATCAACATATTAGGAGTATTTGGAATTCTAGTATTCAGGTCATCCCCCTATCTGTATGTTAAGATTAAATGGGAAAATAAATTGAACGTGTAGCGACTATCAATTCATAGCTGGATTGAAGTTGTAGTGGTTCTGATATTCTGACGTAGTGTTTCTTTTGTTATGCTTTTATGAATCCTCATGTATTAAGTTCCCATAAGTTCCAGATAAGGGATCTGATGTATTTCTACTCTTACACATTTCTATGGCCGGCCTATATGGTTGTGTTGGAGCATTTTTTTTGTGATAGAGAAATTCCCAGTCCTATCTATTAGAAAAAGTACAGAACTACGCGATCAGACTGAGGTTTCCATCCCTATTGTTTTTACCGTTACTTTCATGGGAGGTGAGCTTGTAGGGCTATTCTTAATAGTCTTATTCTGAACAAAAGAGTGATCAAGTTCATCAATCCTCCAGCAAGCTTTTTGAGTGGCACCTAATCTCTGCTCTTGCGGCTGCCAGTGGCATAGTCCTGCAGATTTTCTCTTGAGAAGACTAACAAAAAATAAACTTTAACACTCTTTTTGAAGCTGGCGACTGTTATCGCAGTGTTTTCAAAATGCTTTTTCTTTATCCTACAAGGATGGCGAGTTATGGGCAAAACTTTAGCCTCGGTCGAAACTAGAACCCGTACTTGTGTTCTTTGTCCCTTACAATCTTTGTTTTTCATGTTCACATCACACGGTCTCTTTATACCTGTATTATTCTCAGTGTTGTCTTCTCTGGAGCACCTTTCCGTGACTTCTCAAAGATTGCTTCAGTGGGGTACTTTGGTCAAAGACATCCGTTAGCCACATAGAGCACCGTATGCTAAAACCTGTGTACATCTTAAAGAGAGCATATGTCAGTCAAATGAAAAACATTCTTTGCTTGTCATAATCACATCCACATTGCTGACATTGCATGTACTCCCTCCATGATGGAACTGAATGATTCTGAATGATTTATTATCCTTCTTGATGGTTTATGTCGGAACAAAAATCCTTTCAAGATGCTCTTAGGTGAGAATTGGCTTTAGTCTTGGCTCAATCGCTTATCGGATCCCGATTAAGTACAGACTGAAAGTTCTAGAGGTTGCAGTGTCGTGGACAGCAAGGCACATGGCATATTGGTCATGTAGGATGGGAATCAATCTGTGGGCAATGTACATTGGAGGAAACAGACATGCTTACATACGGGAGCCGTCTTCCAACCTGCAACTGAAGTCTCGTCTTTTCGAACTGCCAAAAATGCTTGGCCCTCCTGAGTTGCTGAAAGTTACAAACTTGAGAGCATGCTGGTATGATAAATCTACTGAATTTGCGATAAAGCTTTTTCACTGCATGTAAGGAATGGTTGGCAGAGGTCGTATAGTGTTAATGGGGCACTACCACATGTATGGTCACTGTTGATAACCACCCAGACTAGTCAAGCCATGCATTTCTTTGGGATTGGAGAATCAATATAAGATGAAAATAGGTACCTGGGAGGAGAAAAGCTCCAGAAATTGTATTATACATGAGCCGGCCACCTATAGACAACATTCTCGTCCAAAAACTGCAATTCTGAATGGAAGTCGAATGCAGAGGCATCTAAAAGAGGGCTTGATTGAAGCTGAGAGACTTCGTCCTTCAAAGCTTCACAAGACGGTGACTGATGGAGTCAGAAAAACAACAAATCGTCTTTGTTGGATTCGCTGTACAAAATCCTTATCATCTCCCATCTGGTGTTGCGCTTTGGTGTGCAATGTTGATGAGGTGTTCTGTGTTTAACAGCAGAATAGCCAAATATACAATCACCTTTATAAAACTAACCAAAAGTGCCATGAAATTTTCCCTGGGATTTTTCAACCTTTGCACCATCTTAGCCTTTAACATTTGTTCCAAAAAATAGTCACACGAGAACCCTTATGTTCAATTTCACCTGGCCGAAGATTTGATTTTGACAGATGATCCGAACGGACAGAAGATCTCTGCCTTAACAACACTGACCTTCATAAATACAAAAGAAGTACCCATTTGATATTGTACATTCTTTTCCGAAGACTTAAATTTTTTTCAAAGGAACTATGGAAAGCCTGAGCTCCAAATGCTTTCTTAGGTTTTACGAGTACTTCAATTCTTTGTGATAGCGTTTCGATGAAAACTCTCCCAATAGATTTCAACGTTTGAAAACTTTTTATGTCTCTAACTATAGTATTGTGCTCTTCCAATTCTTTCTCTAGAGTTTTTCTCAGAGCAAGTGAATCGCCTCGAGCGATCTCAAATGATAGACCACAGATTGTAATAAAAAAAGTGCGAGGCACACCTGGTCTCTTGGAAGATCATTTTCTGGCCAGTGCCTCATTCTTCCGGGAGGAAGCTTGTTCATTAGGAACTCAAGAAAAGGGACATAAATTAGTTGGCGCTGATAAGCCCCTTCACGTAGTATACGCCAAACATCAAGCATCCAGTCAGAAATAAGTTAATATGTATCATGCTTGATAACCGTGTTCTGTTGCAAAATATCAATGGATGTCATTGTTATTTACAGACCCTTTCTTTTACATTTCGAAACAGCTTTCTTTGAGAGTTTTCTGGTTAAGGTTGAGAAAAGGGCTCTTTAGATGAGCAAAAGCCTGACATCCCAAGGGTTCTGGTTCCGAATCGGGACTATGCTACTTCAGGTCGGGCCACTTTCAGGGAAACCTGGAAGCATACGTATC